ATATATATATACATATACACTTTTTGGTACTTTATTTTGTACCATTGTTACATGTATTTCTAGTTTGTTTTTGTTTGTTTTGTTATTACTGAGTCAAATCAGTTCTTCGTATCCTGAACATTTCATTGCATTGTTGACCTTGTGTTAACCTGCATATGACAAATAAACAACACAACATAAATCACATTTATTTCAATATTAATCATTGTTGCATACAATAAAATAAAAAGTGCCATCCTGTCAATGTATCACTCATAAAAAACAGTATAGCTTTATTTAAATTAGCTAATAATACAATAACACAAAAGTCACTACTTAAAAAAGATTAAAACATATTTAAACACATCAAGAACAAGCACAGGTGCACAATCAAACACTCTGATTTGCAGCTCAGGCTGTTTTTGGCTCTGTTAAGATGAGTAACTGATGTCAGATAAATGTTTTTGAATGTTTGTCCTCGTCTTAGTTAATCATCTCCTTGACAGTAATAAATTGAACCAACCATGTCCAAGGTGAAAAGTGTCCTTTAGAATATTATTGGCCATTTTTAGGAAGTGGGGACTCTGCAGTTCCTCCAGAGTTGAGAGGGCTGCACAAAGGCGCCCTAAAAATGAGGTTGTAACAAAGGTGCTTCAACTCAGAACAATGTAAATTGACAAAACACTTATGTAGTTGTGCTAATTTAACTTTTAAATTGTAATAAACTTTTACATTATTTTAGTTGCCAGAATGTATTATTCCTGAGAGAAACAAACAAAAAAAACAAAACAAAACACATTAAATTCCAAAAAGTAAGGGTTGGTGAATAGTTCTAGTATATTTCCAGTTGTTGCCCCTTTTTTTTTTTTCTTCTCTTTCTTCTGTTTCTGTTGACAAGGGTTGTGACATTGAGAAAATTCATACCAACGATTTGGCTTTTATGCCCGATGCTCTTCCTAATGCAACCTGGACTCAAACCTGCAGTCTCACAAGACCACAGCACTGACCACCAAGCTATTGTGCCATCTTTACTACACTGCCTGGCCCCCCAAAAAAAGTTGCCACCAAAAAAAGGTTACACACTAATATTTTGTTGGACTGCCTTTATCTTTAATTACATCATGCATTCACTGTGTCATTGTTTCAATAAGCTTCTGCAATGTCACAAGATCTATTTCCATCCAGTGTTGCATTAATGTTTCACCAATATCTAGCTTTGAGAACTAGGCACAAGGCATGATAGGTGCATCACTTCACCTGCCTCTCTTCTTACCCTGATGCACCCATCACTCTGGAACAGGGTAAATCTGGACCAATCAGACCACATGACCTTCTTCCATTGCTCCAGAGTCCAATCTTTATGCTCCCTAGTAAATTGAAGCCTTTTTTTGTTTCCAAAGTTAACCTCACAGATTAGAGGTTTTCTTAAGGCTACACAGCTGTTCAGTCCCAATCCCTTGAGTTCCTTCACATTGTGCGTGTGGAAATGTTCTTACTTTCACTATTAAACACAGCCCTGAGTGCTACTGTTGTTTTTGTTCAATGTGATTTCACCAAAAGTTCAAGTGATCATCGATCACGATCATTCAGGATTTTTTTTCCGGCCACATTTCTTCCTCGAAGACGATGGGTCCCCACTATCCTTCCAGTTTTTAATAATGCATTGGACTGTTCTTAACCCAATTTCAGTACTTTCTGTAATCTCCTTAGATGTTTTCTCTGTTTGATGCCATTGATTTGACCCTTCTTAAACAGACTGACATTTTTTCCACTACCACGCAAAGTGTCTTTCAACATGGTTGTTTAAGAAATGAGAAGCAACTCATTGCACCAGTTTGGATTAAATAACTTGTTGCCAGCTGAAAGATAATCGCCCATGCAGTAATTATCCAATAGGAGGCTCGTACCTGTTTGCTTAGATAAATCCAGGTGACAACTTTTGTTTTGGCCAGGTAGTGTATACTGCCAGTAATTCTACTGTTTTCATGTAAAATTATATTACCAAGGACTTTATTGAAGTATTTCTTAATAGAAAATGACAAAATATTCCCACTGCTCATTCCAGTAGTGCACATCTCTATAAATTAAACAGTTAATTTTATGCATGTCCTGATGCATGCTCAATTATCCAGGTAGATTAATCTAACAAGGTTGAGTCAGGTCCGTCCAGAGGACCAGACACAACCTTGTTAGAATTTTAAGCATGCTTTCTCAGCATCGGACATTATTGCTATTTGCAGCTTCCATGTTGTATATTGTGTTTGTTGCATTGCTGAGGGTACATGAGCATAATCACTTGTGGATTTAGTAATCATCAGATACTGGCAACCTTCACCTGATGTATAAAAATACGTTTGTCACTGTAAGTTTAATTTAGTTGTCCATCCCTGACAGACATGCTTAGTAGGATTGTACTTACTTGTCTCTTGGGGGACTTTGCTTGTTGTGTATGCTGTGTGGGGGGGCTGGTGTGGTTCCTCCAGGCCAGTGGGGGGCAGAACCACTCCACTTCGCTCAGATAGATGAGGAAAGAACAGTCTGAACCGTCAACACCGTAGAAGGCGTAGCAAGGATCCGATGTCCACCGGGCACGCATCCACTGAAGAACAAACAGAAAAAAGTTCAAGTTTACATTACAAAATACTGTATACAGTACACTTTGATAACAGGTTCTGTTTTAAATGTGCTCTATAAATAAAGTTCACTTGACTTGACTTGACTATACCAAACCAAACAAACAGTAAATACAAAGTATTTATTTACCAATACACCCAAATATTAAAGGTAACTGATAATCAGATCCTCCTAATGCCACAACAATTTGATTTTACAAGTTTGTAAGAAGCTACAGTTACCTTGTGCTCATCAAATGTAGGCCTATCACTCCCAGTAAATGACAATAACGTCAATGTAATTACCACATAAAAGGCAAGCGAAGAATGTTATGAACATTGACTTAAGATTTTTCCTTAACAACAGAAAAATGTGGTGCAGTTATATACAAAGCTGTCAAAAGCTGTCCAGTGTACTAGTAGATAAAAATGAGGTTTTCATAATTCTTCATTTAAATAAATGTTATTAAAACTCTCAGTTTCTGTGTCAAATACAATATGTGGGCAAAAGGTGCAAACACAGCATAAAAAGTTCCATATACAAAATATGTGTGTTAGTGTGGAAAGGACCAGGGTTCCCTTCAAACTGTACTCCATAACCTATATGAACTCTTACACTTCACAGCTTTGTGGCAAATTTTGTAAACGTCCTTTAGTGTGAAAGTAATCATGATGAACCAGTACTTTTAATAATCACTAAATTCCTTTCTTTTTCCTGTGTCCCTGGGATGATCCCCTTGACTCTCACCAGGCTTCATTCACCCCTTCTGGTACAATTCACCTGAACAGTAGCAAGATACAACTACATATTAATGATACAGGATCAGCACACTGCTTCTGCTACGAGTATCATGTCCACATTTTATTTCCATGATTTTGTCCCAATCATAGTCATAGCACAGGCATGATGCCAGCATGGCCACACTTGCTTCCAATTCTCAACAACCAAGCCACTCTGGTGCTTGCAGGATATGGATATGGTACCACTATCTTTCAACAAGAACCCCAATTTGCAAAGAAAACAATATACATGATATGAAAAATTCCATAACCTCATTTTGGAAATTTTGTGAATGCTCAAAACTTAAATGGACCATTCAAGCCCCATACTTATAGAGATCCCATTTAGTTCTTCATAGGCACCTAAGGACGTTGCCAGAACCCTGAAAAAAACTATCCTTGTTCTGTCAGACTTTTTACATCATAGGAGTCATCGTCCATTGTGAAGGAGCCTCAGGTTCTACCGCCTAATACTCTGGCAGAACTCAAAACTGGTTTGAAATTTTGAGCAACATTAGGACATGCAGTAAAAGTGTAATAAATTAAAACTCAAAGTAAGCAAGAGATAAATACGAACAACTAGATCTTCATTTTGTTTATAACAGCAACCATTCAACCCAAAAACATTTGTCGGTCAGTGCATTAAAATAATGGGAAATTACATTCAAGTATAGCAGTTGATCTATATGTTATAATAATATACTGTACATTTTATTATTATTATTATTATTATTATTATTATTATAAATATACATAAACTTACATCTACTTTTCCAGGGCATTCTGGGAAGTGGCTGTCCCTTGGTACTTCACACTGGCTTGTCGTCCCATCTCTGACAACTGAAAAGAAACAATTTTACCCTCAGCTAAAACACATAAATCAGTTTTAAATAATCAAAAGTATTTCATTAGAACATCTGTGACACACCAGGATTCATATATAAGAATAAAAAATGTACTTAAAAGAAAGAAAAACATTTATTGTTATCACGTGAAGTAGATGTTGGGATGGATTCTCAGCTAGGAATACTCTATTTTAGTTCAACACCTGTGAAAATCTCAGAATTACAGACATTTTTGTGTTAGTTAAAGGATATTTTCTATTTCATAGGAGTTAAGACTGTTCTAGACAAGAAATGGAAGAAAAAAATGAATATATATA